GTTCATATAATCTCTAAGTATAGATATCAGCTTCCTCTATATCAAGTAGGACATAAGCTTTATCCTCGATTAAAGCCAAGATCTCCTCATCTAGATGTTGAAGTGTTTTAAACTTGTCCTCCAGAGCTGTACCAGCTTTGCCTTCTCTGACTCTCCAAGATATCCAGCCCCCAACACAGCTTCTACTTCTGCCATTCTCTTATCAGCCATATTTCTCTTGCCTTTTCTCACATCTTTCTCTTTAAATCAGCTATTATTCATGCACGTAGCTAGTCGTGAACATCCATGTGTGACAAATAATATTTAGCACAATAGAAAAAAATATTTCACAATTATAGAGATTATGCAATGACGTAATTAGCATGATGTCATTATCCACAACACATTTTGTGTGGCTAGGGACCAATGCCTGGTCCCACTTTTGCTGCCAAATTCTATTTCTGCTGTGGCAGTGCCTCCCCCTTGGTTTATTCCGGCAAAACTGTGAGTATTATGCATGGTGGGTTATGAAGTGTGTGCATGCTTGCTAAGTTTGTTGCCTATAGTCCAGTATGGGGTAGGACTCAGGCTCAATGTGTTTTATGTTCGCTTTTAGGGCTCTTTTGTTACACGTGTGCATAAAGATACGCCAGGTACTAGTATTTTGGGCGAGTCCAACCCCCTCAGTCCTTGGCATCTGTCCCTGTTCTCAACTAAGGCCAAGGGTCATTGATAGTGCCTTCAGCTTCACTCGTGTCAGACTCTGGGCTGGTGCAGCCTACACTGGCCCGGCAGGCTGCTTGTCTTGTGTTGTCCCTAGTTGTCCCTAGACTGTCAGCCAATACAGGGTAAGCTGGTCGAGAAGGTCCACTCTGGTCCAATTGTTGAGATGCAAGAGTTTTAGCGGACAAGGATAAGCTGGTTGACAGTCTGGGAGGCTACCTCAGAAGGCAATGCTGGACGGCCTAGAGTGTGGGAGGTGCCATCTCCCTACCATGCATCCACTGTTTTCTGGCTCATGTTGCTAGCTGTTGCAGGGATCTTTGGCAGGACAGAAGAAAACAGCAAATGTCAGCAATCCCTATTGAAGCAATAGCAGTAGTTACAGGCAACGTCTCAAGTGCTTGACTTGATTATTTCATTTTTGTTTATCGATGGCATATTTATGTCTTCTTAGTTATTTGTGTTATGTGTAGCCCCATTGTCATGGGCAGATCTGGGTTCAAATGATGCTAGTGCAATAATGAAATTTACGAGTTGGTTTGGATTATTAATAGTTATGAATAGTTATTAATATTTGTTAGCTGCGCAATTGCTTGGCTTGAGAATTCCAGCACTTCAGGGTACTTGTGGTTCGTTGTAACAGCTGGGGTAAATATGGGCATTTATTGAGTTTACATGTAAGGTATGGTACAATAAGAGAGTACTTTAAATA